TTGGCGAAGGCGAAGGATACAGCATGGGAATATGATCGGAATCCTTCCTTTTCGATTCATGCGGGCACACGACTGAGATCTCACCAAGACCCAATTGTAACCCAAGAGCCTGTCCTCTTTGAATCAGACTATGCCGCCCCGATTGGCGTACTATTGTAATCCTTGTGGTACCCGTACGGGGCTATTGGAACCCAATTGGTGTTCAATCGAGATCCCCCCGCTACAGGCTGGTGACATGCCTAAGCGGTTTGAGCTTTCAAACATCCATGTCCTAAATCTACATCGTTGTTGGAGCCTCATACCTTTGCCTGACAATCTTGCTTCTTCTGGCAAAAGAAGGACAGTACACGTTCGCCGCAAAAGACGCAGGGGAACACGCACGCCCCCAGGAGAATGGGAACGTGATCAATAACGTCGTTGGCAACATTCTAAACCCAACATGCGGATTTCATAGCTTTGCGCCATGGACAGATTGTACCTTCGCGCCTCATCGTCTGGCAACGGCGCAATCGTATGTTTTCGCATGTGCGGAAACATGCGCGCCCAGGATAACGGAAATGTGGCCAATCAATCAGTTGTACCATTCTAGCCACTACGTGTGGTGTTCAACATGTTTTTTCTGCATCGTGAGCCATGTTTGTCCTCGCGCCTGATCCCTTGACATGTTTATATAAAAAACAAAACAAAAACAGCATGCGTTAGCAATCCCGGACGCATGCGTACCCCAGATGGCGGAACTGTTGCCATGAAACCGATGGTAGAACTCGAGCCGATTCATGTGGATTTTAATGTGTGCCTTGGCTTCGCAGATAACTTGTGTCCTCGCGCCCCGTCGCCTGGCAATCGCAAAACCATATGTTTTCGCATTCGCGGTTGCATGCGTGCCCAGGAAGGCGGACATGTGGGACAGAAACCGATGGTAACATTCTAGCCAATACATGTGGATGTCCAAATGCATTCATTTGTTGTATCATAACCATGTGTGTCCTCGCGACTCATCGCCTGGTAATCGCAAGAACCGCGTGTTTTCGCAATTGCGGAAGCATGCGTGCCTAGGAATGCGGACATGTGGCCAAGCAGTCGAAGGTAACATTCGAACCACTACGCTTGGATGTAAATTTATTGTTTTTGGCCTCAAAAACAATAGGTACCCTCGCGCCTCATCGTCAGGCAATCGCACAATCACAATCACATGCGTTCGCTTTCGCAGAAGCATGCGTGCCCAGGAAGGCAGACATGTGGCCAACATGTCGTTTGTAAAACGCTGGCCAACGCATGTTGATTTCAAATCGTGTTTTTTGCATCGCAAACCACATTTGTTCTCGCGTCCTGTCGTCAGGCAAAGGCAGAACCGCATATTTGCGCCATTGCGGAATCATGCGTGCCCAGGAGGGCAGACATGTGCACAAGAAATCGCTGGTTAAATTCCAGCCAATGCATGCAGACTTCGATTTGTATCGTTTGGCCTCGCAAGTAGTTGTTGTTTTCACGCCTCGTCGCATGGCACTAGCAACACCTTATGGTTTCGCCTTCGCGGAGACATGCGTAACCAGGAGGACAGACGCGTGGCAGAAATCCCGCAAAAGGTTCTCAAGCGCTTAGGGGCCGCTCAGTCGATCGGGAGCCTCTGCAGAACGCTCGGGCGCTCAGGAGCCTTTGCAGAGCGCTCAGGCGCTCAGAAGCATTTGCGGAGCGCCCAGGCGCTCATGACTCCCTGCAGAACGCTCAGGCGCTCAGAGGCCTCTGCCGAACGCTCAAGCGATAAGAAGCCTCTGCAAAGCGCTCAGGCGCGAACGCTCAGGCGTTCAGAAGCCCCTGCAGAACGCCCAGGCGCTCAGAGTCCTCTGCAAAGCGCCCAGGCGCTCACAGAAGCCTCTGCAGAGCGCTCCGGCGTCCAGAAGCCTCTGCCAAATGCCAGGCGCTCAGAAGCTACTTCTTGCGGTCGCACTCCTTTGCAGAGCGCCCAGGCGCTCAAAAGCTTCTGCAGAGCGCTCAGGCGCTCAGAAGCGTCTGCAGAACGCTCAGGCGCTCGGAAACCTCTGCAAGGCGCCCAGGCGATCACAATCCTCTGCAGAAAGCTCAGGCGCTTAGAAACCTCTCCAGCACGCTCAGGCACTCAAACGCCCCTGCAGAGCGCTCAAGCTCTCGGAAGCCCATGCAAAACGCTCGTGCGCTCAGAAGCCTCTGCAGAGTGCTCAGGCGCTCGGAAGCCTCTGCAAAGCACTCACGCGCTCAGAAACCTCTGCAGAGCGCTCAGGCGCTCAGGAGTCTCTGCAGAACGCTCAAGCGCTCAGAAGCATCTGCAAAGCGCTCAGGCGCGAACGCTCAGGCGTTCAGAAGCCCCTGCAGAACGCCCAGGCGCTCATAAGCCTCTGCAAAACGCTCAGGCGCTCAGAAGCATCGGCAAAACGCTCAGGCTTTTAGGTGCCTCTGCAGAATGCTCAGGCGCTCTGAATCCTCAGACGCTTCTGCCGAGCGCGCACGCGCTTCTGAAGGCTGG